ATGCAGGCTTGGCCAAAACTACCTTCACTCATCCTGCCTTTTCTCTCACCCTCAACAGATGCTCACCTTCTCTCTCGTGTTTCCCAACCCAGAAAAAAAAAACGATTTCTCTCACCCTCTGATCTTCTTGTGCTTGACAACAACTAAACTTCTCTTGAGCTTGAAAGCTCTTGCACTCGACTGGTTACAGTTTACCTTGAGCTCTGATACCACAATGAAAACTCAATTGGAATGGAAACTGACAATTTTATTAACAAGAAGACTCCAAACTATATGTACAACGTTTCCAGCCTACAATCCTGGCTTCCCACTAGCCCATGATCTACTCCACTAGCCTACAAACCTGCTAACTGTCTTTGCTTCCTTAAACAGAAAGACACAGACTCAAACTGACTCTAAACAAACTTGACTTAACTTAGATGACCAGACTGAAATTAACCAAGCGGCGTCGTTTCCACTTGAGACAGTATTCAAACTTCAAATGTCTTCGCGCCAGTTCTCCTTCTTTTATCAACCCGGGTTCAGCAGATCAAACCGGGTTCAGGACTCCTTCTAACAGAATAATTGTCATCCGGCTAAAGCTACTGGTTCGTAGGATGGAGTGGGAGGTGCGACTCGTTCTTCCTGGATAGTGGATACCTCAATTAAATTAAAAGCTATCGGGCAATACCAAGAGCCAGGCGGAGCTTGATCGGAAAACAACAATGGATTAATTGCGCCTGTATTAGAAACTGTGGTCTCTAAGATTAATGGGCCTTGCAGTCCGCTAGACTACGCTCTGAAAAACCCAGTTCGGGCCTGAGCTTCATTCCTGTCAGCAGAGAGAACACAAACTTGGGCAATTAAAGCGAGAACCGTGATGAGAAACAAGGGAGCTATATTTGGGCTAGCTCGCAAAATCGGAAGGGAATGGCTTGTCTGAAAGAGGTAATAACTGACACCTTCTTCGTGGGTCATTAATGAATGCTAAATTAGAAGCTATGGCATACAAAGTGAATGCTTAAAAGAAAGCTATAGAACCGATGCATTTATAGGTTGACATTGAGATGTGTTATGCTCAATGATTAGAGTACAACTTCGTATACATGTTTTAAAGAGTGATTTTGATTACATGAATGCATACTATAAAGCATATTTAAATGCATACTATATGGTATATATGTTAGTGGAATGGGTTGCACGCTCATATTTATTTTGGAAGAAGTACTATTGTTAGTACTAAGTGAACCATCTTGCGACTTTGAACCCTAAAAGGTTCAAGAATCAAAATAGCAAGTCGAACAAGATCCACACCAATTAGAATGGTATCACTCGTGATAGCCAAATTATTATCGGCCAATCCTCTAAGAATGACGCTTTATTCCTCTGCAATAGTTGCGGGAAGTTAGGTCATATAACACGAAAGTGTATGAACAAGTATAACATTGGTTCTAGTGTTCACTTGATTGAAAAGAAGGATTGATGGTCGTGATGATTGTGAAAAGAGCATAGATTAACCTTGCTGGTAACTCTGAAGAATGGTGGTTGAATACTGGTTCGAAGCATACAAAGGCATTTGCTATTAAGAAAGTGTTGTTGAGTATTGCTCACTCCACTATTGTTGATGGTCACGAGAGTATGCATGTGGTGATATGTGTTTAATGTTAATGTGATGAATTCACATGTGTATGATATGCACGTATTTCCTTATACATGATAAAAGACCCATAAATACCTTATTAGAGAATCATATATTTTTTTTTGTGATATGGGTGAATACAATGAGATGTCAATTTTGAGTGGTATGAAATTATTTATCACACTGCATTGATTTATATGTGATGCTTTTTGACATGTGAATGATATAGTTTGAGATCAGTGCAAAGATGACAATTGACTTTCATTTAAGAAATAGTGGGGGTAGAATCCCTCCTACTATTAGAGGTAATGGAACTAGTGGGGGTGATGAATCTGAGTTAAACTCAGAAGAAGCAAATGAACGATAAATTGTTAAAGGATTTTGGTTATGAATTAGTTATTTACACCCTAAGAAAGAAAGATCCTGCAAGTCTGCTAGAAGTTTGAACTTCCATAAAGATGCAGAATTGTGGGATAATTCATTATTAACAAAATGGAATTTTTGTAGTCTAATCAGACTTAGAAACTTGTAGAGTTACCTTTTGGTTGTAAAGCCTTAGATAATATATCGATGAAATCGAACAAGTTTTGGCATCCTTGAGAATTACCTCCTGACAATGAAGCAAAGGTAATAAATGGATTCTCAAAAGAAAACTGAAACCTAATGGTTTAGTTTATGAGTATAAGGATCGCCTAGTAGTTAAGACTTAAGGCGAAAAGGAAAAAAAAATTGTAGATTTTCTTGATATCTATTCACCAAATCTAGAATAACATCCATGTATGGTCTGATTGCTAGTGGTGCATCAGATGGATGTTAAAATTGCATTTTGTGAATGGTGATTTAGATAAAGAAATCTAGAATGGGACAACCTAAAAGGTTATTATTCCGGAACATGCTTTTAAAGTCTATGGTGAGACAAATCATGATATGATTTGAAACAGACTTTAAAAATCATGGCATGGATGGATGGTTCTCTCTCATGGTTTTGAATGAAAGTGGCAAGTGCATTTGTTACTAACTTGAGAACGATAAGAAATACAAGTTATACTCTTGCCTAAATGTTTGAAGATGCTATTACAATTTTTAAAATAGCACCAAAGACGGTGTAAGAAAGTAAGAACATACTAGCATCGATGGTCTGCAAGAGGCAGCTGATAAACATGAGACCCGACATAGTGGGGGTACTTGGCAGGTTTACTGATTGTCCTAGTATGAAGCATTGAAATGCTATTGAAAGGGGTCATGAGATGCCTTAAGAGAACAATAGACCTTTATATATGTTATCAACGGTTTCTTGCTGTATTGGTAGGGTATATTGATGCGGACAAGAATACCCTATAGAGGACTCCAAGGCATCCAGTGGGCATGTTTTAACATCGCTGGAAGAGTTGTGACTTGAAAGTCTAAGAAGTAAACGATCCTGGCTCAATAAACTAAAGAATCAGAAATGATGAAACTAGCCATGGCTAGTAAAGAGGAAAGTTGATTGAGAGGGTCATTACTAGAGATTCCCTTATGGGAAAGACCGATCCCTCCGGTAGTTGATTCATTGTAATAGCACCGCAACTATTGCAAAAGAAGGGAACCGGTTCTCGAACGAAAAGAGACGATAGATTCGTCAAACACAATACTGTAAGAGAACTCCTAACGATAGGAGCAATGAGGGTGGATCATGTAAGATCCTAACAGTATCTAATTGATCCTTTGACGAAAGGATTACCTAGAGAGAAAAGTCCAAAATACCTCGAAAGGTATGAGACTTATGCCTACCGAACCATGGATTACAAGTGATGGTAACCCGACCCGATAGACTCGAGATCCCAAGAAACGGGTTCAATGGGTAATAACTAGTCATGAGTAATATTGAGAAAAGTTCATGCATAGTGGAGCATGAATCCCAAAGCTTTGGAGGTTGAGTTCAACTCTTAATGAGATCTATACTCTATGTGGAGTGAAGTAATTTACTTTGGGGGTACTTCTGATAGACTCGCCTATGTGAATGTGGGAGTGAGGCCGCTCCCTATGGAACTTTGGAGGCACAAAGTTGCTAGAGCGTTCACTAAACCGGGATAACGTGCAGGGCCATAAAAGCACAGGCTATGAGAGAATATCACTCAATGAAAAGATCCGGTGTGCTACATTGTCCGAGATAGGGTTCAAGACTATGACTCACCCTTATGAAATCGGAAGTGTAACCACTACGCTAAGGTTCAAATCTTCGTGATACCTTAGCTTATGCCCAATCTTATGGATCTGTTGATGCTCAGAGATAGTTTCAAAACTATTTTCAAAACTATTCAAGTGGGGGATTGTTGGGAATGAATAGCTTTGAAAGCTATATTGAATTAATTATCCAGTATTTTTCTATATACGAAAATAGGAGGATAATTAATAAAAAGAATATTATGGAGATAATTAGAATTAATTATCTTAATATAATATATTTTAATTATGGGAGTAATTATCTCCCTAGTTAAAATGTGCCTTATTCCCAAAGAAAGAGGGAATATTCTGAGTTTTCTGCTCCTATAAATAGCAGACCCCCCCCCCCCCCCAGACCCTCTAAACACACCTTAGAGAGCAGAAACACGAGAACGAGAGTGAGTTCATAGAGCTCCGGTTTTCGCACAAAATCGATGAGCAACAAAATTAGAGTGGCTGTTTTATCCTAGAGGCGACCGGTTGATAGTTTGCCGTGCGCAACGAAGGCAGTGCCGCGAATGTCTTAAAGAGAGCGACCTAGTCCACGGCTCAGCCAGATCGATAACCCTATTTTTCTGTTCGGTTTCTAACATGTTCATGTGTAGAAGGTTTTGCATTCCCATTCATATACCAGCGCGGACCGCAGATTTTGGGTACTCGTGAGTAATACCTATCTCGTACATCCAACATTACTATACCTAAAATTATGCATGGAGATCTTCAATTATAACACTAAACGGACTTGATAAATCATAAAATCAATAAAGACACAATCATTCTTAATTCGATCAAAGCATATGATGATAAAATATCCATTAATCTATAGTACAATACTACCCAAATCATTTATATCTCTGACGCCAATACATCACTTATCTCTGAAGCTGATCGGACCGATCAGGGTTTCTAAAACACGGCTTCTGATATGAAATTGTGATCGAAATAGGGTATTGACTCGACTCTCACAAAAAACAAAGACCCTCGTGCAGTAAGTCACTCAGGACAAAACTCAGGAGGGGAGAAAAACACGGAAGTTGCAAAATATTAAAAAGGCGGGAATCTGGCGGAGTTGGTGCTTTTGGTAAAATAACAGGAAGGCGATCGTTGACGGAAAGATGACATTGTATTGTATAAAAAAAGAATAAAGGAGACGAGTGATTGCTTTGCTGCAGAACAGAACGGGAGCCGAGCCGCGCAAAGCAGAGGGAAGGACGCGCCATTTCTCTCTTCCTTCCCTTCCTTCTTCTACATCTCTCTCTACTTATCTCTATATATTGAATTCCAATCGCGATACCCAAAACGGCCGAGCCAAAGAAACACGAAATATCTCCCTCCCAACTCCCCAGCCCAGCTGAGAATCTCATCAGTCTCCCTCCCTCCCTCCCTCCACCGGCCGGCGGAGATCATGGGGAACTACAGAATGTGCGGGTGCTTCGTCAGGAAGTTCTCCGTCATCGAGTCCGGCCCGCCTCCCGACATCGCGGACGCGTTCCGCAAGTACACCGGCGGCGCGCCGGTCATGTTCCCCGATCAGCTCCGCCTCTTCCTCGCCGAGCACCAAGGCGCCGACGACGGCACCGCCGGGAAGATCTTCGCCGCCATCTTGCAGAAAAGGCACCATCTGTTCAGCAGGCACAGCCTCACCCTCGATGATTTCTACCGTTACTTGTTCTCCCCGGATCTCAATCCCCCCACCATCGCCGACCAGGTAATTCTCGATTTCCTTGTACACACCCGGCGATCTGACTCTTCAATTGATTACACTCTTCTATTACTTGGTCGTGAATCTTGATTGATGCATGGTTTCCTTATTCGATGGGGTTCTTGACCTAGGTCAAACAGAAAAGACCCAATCTCTATTGAACAGAAGAACAATCAGATTTCAGTCCAAATTTAGAAGGCGGATAAAGATTAAGAAGGTCAAACCTGGGTTTGTTTTCCTTGTGTGTTTTCTTCAGGTGTATCAGGACATGACAAAGCCATTGTCCCATTACTTCATCTACACAGGACATAATTCCTACTTAACTGGGAACCAGCTCAACAGCGATTGCAGTGATATCCCCATCATCAAGGCACTCAAGAGAGGGGTAAGAGTGATTGAGCTCGACATCTGGCCGAATTCGGATAAAGATGAAATCCACGTTCTACATGGAAGGTATTGTTTTCTTTCTGTTAAGTTTGCTAAATTTACACAACTCTAAAAGCACTCACCTAAATGCTAGCTTGTTCAATTTGTCTCTAAAAGCACTAAAATTTGTACGCAATAGGACCTTGACAACTCCTGTGGAAGTCCTGACCTGTCTGAGATCGATAAAAGAATATGCATTCGTAGCTTCGCCATATCCGGTCATAATCACTCTCGAAGATCACCTCACAACACAACTTCAAGCTAAAGTAGCTCAGGTGATTTGTTATGTTATGCACTTAACTGGATCACGATGATAAAGTTAGTTCTGTGGTAAATAAACTGTTGGATGTATGGTACTAAACACTAGCTTTACACCCGTCTACCTATTTCCAGATGATCAAGGACACGTTTGGGGAAATGCTGTACTGTCCAGATGCAGAGTGTTTGGAAGAGTTCCCTTCACCAGAAGATTTGAAGTACAGGATAATTATATCAACCAAGCCTCCCACTGAGTATCTAATGGGTAAGAGTTCAACGAGAAAGCGGAGTAAATCGCAGAAGGACAAGGATTCTGATGACGAAATATGGGGGAGAGAAGCAGCAGCTGACTCAACAGACCGTGAAGATGGTGAAATGGTAAAGGATTCTACACATGTGAGGATGAATGCCTTTCTCCTTTTAAGGAGAAAAATAAAAAAGTTGACAGCTAGAGGTGCTGATTCATTTGCTGCAATTTTCCCCTTTTCTGCTATTCCATATCAGAGTGGCAGCGAGTCAAGTGAAGGTACAGACTATGAGTTACTCTCAGGAACATCAGATTATAAGCGTCTAATAGCCATCCAGGCTGGGAAAGCAAAAAGTGGTTTGAAGCAGGCTCTAAGAGTTGACTGTGCCAAAGTTAAACGGCTTAGTTTGAGTGAACAGAAGCTAGAGAAGGCCGCGGAGAATCATGGAGAAGAGGTTATTAGGTAAAGAAAAGAATCATGCTTCGTTTAATTTGTTGTACTACGCTACTCTTGCATATGAATGGTGGAAATGACTGAATCATTCTGTATTATATCTGCTGGCAGATTTACGCAGAAAAATATTTTGAGGGTGTATCCTAAAGGCACTAGGTTCACTTCTTCCAACTACAAGCCTCTTGTTGGTTGGATGCATGGAGCTCAAATGGTTGCCTTCAATATGCAGGTTTAGTTTCAACTCCAAAACCAAATTCATTAGTATTTTGGACATATATTAAGCAGCTTCGAATAACATGTTGAACTAAATGCAGGGCTATGGAAGAGCTCTTTGGTTGATGCATGGAATGTTCAGGTCCAATGGAGGTTGTGGATATGTGAAGAAGCCTGATCTTCTAATGGATCCTGATAAACTGTTCACTCCCAAATCCCAACTGCCTGTGAAGAAAACATTGAAGGTAAGCCAGCCACCTTATATCCTTATCACCTGCTCTTTTTCTACTCTTTAAACTATCCTAGAAATAAACTTGAAACATGGCGAACTTGACAGGTTAAAGTGTATGCTGGAGATGGATGGCACTTGGATTTCAAACAAACTCATTTCGACAAATATTCCCCTCCAGATTTCTACACCAGGGTAAATTCTCGTTACTAGTTTTCCCATCTTGGCTGTGATCATGGCTCATCGCTTCACCAACCTACTTTCGGCAATGGCAGGTGGGAATTGCAGGAGTTCCAGATGATGTGGTGATGAAGAAAACTAGGGTAAAAGAGGATGATTGGGCACCAGTTTGGGATGAAGAGTTCACATTCCAATTGACTGTTCCTGAACTAGCTTTACTGAGAATCGAAGTTCATGAGTACGATATGTCTGAGAAGGATGACTTTGGTGGTCAAACTTGTTTGCCTGTCTCTGAACTCAGACCAGGAATCCGTGCAGTCCCACTTTTCAACAGGAAGGGCGAGAAGTACCATTCAGTAAAGCTTCTTATGCGGTTCCAGTTTGTGTAGCATTTCTGTCCCCCTTGATGAGATAGATACCAATAACCATGTTTTGCACCAGTGATGTACATGCCATTTTTGCAGAGTAATATATATACGTAGCATTCTTACTCCCCAACATACTTTTAGCCAGAGCAGTATGAAGTCATTGCCATTTCCTTGTGACTCAGAAAAAGTTGGAAGATTCTGGTCTTAGACTCTTAGTAATGGAGATTGATTGTACTTGAGTGATTCTTGGTCATACTTGAACTTCACAAACGAGAACGCAGCTCTGCTTTTCCTCGAAGAGAAAAGAGACAAGGGAGGGTATCAAGTTGTGTGTGCCCCATCCAAACATTTCTCAACCTTTTCATGGAACAAACCAAGTAGACATGGGCAAGCAATGTATTTCCTAGTACTAAAGAAAGAACTTTACAGGAATCATAGTGGCTGCCAGAAGAAGAATTGTGTTAAAGTAGCAAGATATATATCAGAAGTATCCATCAACTTTTGCTTGCAGTATGCAGAAGAGTACAGATTCCCCACTTAGACAGCAAGAAAGGCAATCCTTTCCCACACAAACACAATGCACCAGCTATTGAGGAACACTACCCTTTTTCCCATTTCTTCTCTCAGGTTCTCGCCATTACAAGCCCATCAACCAATTCTACAGATAGAGAGAGCGAGATAGAGAGAGGTTTCCAAGGACAAATTTGTTGCAAGGATATTATAATGTCAAACCAGTCTTTCAATAACAATAAAACAAAGCAGTATTTCAAGGTTTGCTTCTGTTTCAGGAGAATCTTCAGGTTGAGAGACCCTGAGCCTCCTGAGGAGATCAACTTCCTGTTTGAAAGATATTCCCGCGATGGCACCATGTCTGTTGAGGACCTGAGAAGGTTTCTGGTGGAGGTTCAAGGCGATGAATCAGCTACTCATGACGATGCTTTAGCAATCTTCAACAGTCTCAAGCATCTCCACATTTTCCAGAGAAGAGGCCTCCATTTTGATGCCTTCTACCGTTACCTCCTCGGCGACCTCAATGGTCCTATCTCTCCAACTACCACGGTAGGTACAAGTACATCAACTGTTGTTATTGAGATGAATTGGTTCTTGAAAACATGGGCACTGATGATCAACTAAGTTTGCTGAAATTATCGGTTCAAAAACAAACACAGGTTTTTCATGACATGAGGGCTCCTCTATCTCATTACTACTTGTATACTGGCCACAACTCCTACTTGACTGGGAATCAACTCAGCAGTGACAGCAGCACCAAACCAATTATCAATGCTCTCAAGAGAGGTGTGAGAGTTATTGAATTAGATCTGTGGCCCAATAGCAACAAGGACGACGTGAAGGTTACTCATGGAGGGTAAAGCTCAATTACAATTCTTGTATCTCTGGAGACGTTGCAGATGTTATAAAATGTTTACACCGACTTACAGGACGCTAACAGCTCCAGTGGATTTGCTTCACTGCTTGAGAGCAATCAAGGAGAATGCGTTCGAAGCATCTGAATATCCTGTTGTCATCACTTTTGAAGACCACCTCCCTCCTCATCTTCAGTCCAAGGTGGCCACGGTGAGCCCATTAACGACCACTGGCGATAGAATGTTGCTTTTAGGGAACTTACTAGCTCCTAGCTAGATCACTCGAATGAGATCATATTTATTTATTGTGCATGCAGATGGTACAAAATACGTTTGGGGGAACTCTGTACACGCCAGAATCAGATGAAATGTCAGAGTTCCGTTCCCCAGAATACCTTAAAAGGAGGATTCTCATATCAACCAAGCCGCCAAAGGAATACCTTGAAACGTCCAGCGCTGGCAGTAGCAAGGGAGGTGAAGGTGGAAGCAAGCAGAGCTCAGGAAAAGGATCAAAGAGTGATTGGAGTTCCTTTGATAAGGATGAGGGAGATGGAGAAGGTGGGATCCAGGAGGAAGATGAGGAGAAGACAGCTCCCCAGTACCGGCATTTGATTGCTATTCATGCTGGCAAGCTGAAAGGTGGAATTGACAACATGCTTAGCATCGAGGAGAACAAAGTTAGACGTCTCAGCATGAGCGAGCAGGAGCTTGAAGCTGCCGCTAAAACTCATGGAACTGCTCTTGTTAGGTACCTGCAGTTTCCTACTTTCCCCTTTCTTACTACTTGGTTTGAAGTAGGTATGAATTCATTCATTCTATTTCTACCTAGTCCTTGAATCCCCCTTGTTATTCTTTCTTTCTTTCTTTCTTTGTTTTGCTATATGCAGGTTCACTCAGAAGAATCTGCTGAGGGTATACCCGAAAGGAACCCGCCTTACTTCATCCAACTACAATCCTTTTATTGGGTGGATGCATGGAGCTCAAATGGTTGCATTTAATATGCAGGTAATAATATGTCGTGCAAGACTGCAAATAAAGCTACATAACTAATTCTTATCGAGCTAGATAAATAAATAAGGCGATTATGAAGCTAATTAGACTAGACCCCTTTGGCCTTCCCCACCTCCATCCTTCCTTGACCTGACAGGGGTATGATAAGCATCTCTGGACAATGCAAGGGATGTTCAGAGCAAATGGTGGGTGTGGTTATGTGAAGAAGCCTGATTTCCTGCTCGAAGTTGGTCCCAACAACCAGGTCTTCGACCCCAGCCTGGCCCAACAAGTCAAAACCATCTTAAAGGGGAAACTGTACCTGGGCGAAGGCTGGCTTCTCGACTTTCGCCATACCCATTTCGACTTGTGCTCCCCGCCTGACTTCTTTGTCAAGGTACCCTCATTGCTGTTTGTTTGATCTATGATGAGCTATATGTGGAATCATTGAATGATCTGCAACATGGATCACTGAATTGCAGGTTGGTATTGAGGGAGTACCGGCCGACAAAGCTAAGCAGATAACCAACGTAATCGACGATGACTGGCAGCCTATATGGAATGAGGAGTTCCAATTTGAACTGAGAGTCCCTGAGCTAGCTGTGCTGAGGATTGAAGTCCACGACAATGACCTAGGTGGGAACCATGGGTTTGCTGGCCAGACTTACTTGCCCATCTCCGAGCTCCGAACAGGGATTCGAGCCGTCCCACTCCATGATCGCAGAGGGAACAAGTACAAGCACACAAGGCTACTTATGGAGTTTGAATTCGCCTGATCATCCTGTCCCACATTTTCATTTTGCTTAACGAAACTGTTTACCTGGGTTGAAGTTGAACCCTTCACTTATTAAGAACAAAAAGGAAAGGAAAAGGCTTTATCAGTGCTGCTGGTACTGGGGAAAAAAAGACAGAAAATTTGGAGGGTGTTTGACTTGAATAATACTCTGCTGCTTGTTAAGAATGACAACTTGATATCAACTCAACTAATGGATTAGGTAACTTATCTGCTTTCCTCTCTCTATCTGAGCCTTGGACGTCTCTCGGAGGCGGCGGAGGGTGAATCCATTTGATCTCTGCAAAGATTAGCTTAAGCGAGGGGGAAGTGGCACCGCCTTCAGCCGGGCGTAGACATAGCCGGCGAGCCAGAGAGGAGGGGAAACAAGGGGGAGACGGGAGGAGGACATCTTTTATTATAAAAAGATTATTATTTAACCTTGGGTCGGGCTTGGCCCGTTTAGTTAGTGGGCTGGATCAGAGATTTTTTCCTCCCTAAATTATCCTTTGGATAAGATGAGTTAAGGGCGGGATACAAGATACCTCCACCAATTTATAGACCAATAAGATATAGAAAATCATAAAAATTAAAATGAAGTTCAGGATAGCGTAGGGCATTCTGTGCCACAATATGGGCAGCCCAATTCGCTTCTCGAGAAGTGTATGCGAAATGAACTAATGATAGATGACATAGAGGATTATGGACCTCTCTAAGAATTGCTCCGCCCCGAGCATCAAACATCATATGAGTAACCAGTTGATGGACAACATGTTGGGTGTCACTTGTAATCAGGACAGGTCGAGTAGTCCACCTCCATTGGAGAAGAAGATAGAAAGCCTCACGGACCGCCAACAGCTCAACCAAGTAGGAGTTGGTAATTGATGGTAATGTCCTCCCAAAAGCAAAGATCAAAGTAGATACTTGGAAGCCCACAATACCAACAGACCCATGTGAATTTTCCAAGGTGGCCCCAACCAATGCGATATGAAGGTGATGTGAAAGCTGGGCAGAGAGCCGAGTATGAAACGAAGGCAAAGACCGCAGAGTAGGAGCAGAGAGAGTAGCAGGTTGAACGAAAGTTTGGTGATCAGCAAGGTGGGGCAGGTATTGACGAAATAGACTAGCCATGATGAATTGAGCATGTGGAAGAAAGACAACATTATTACGTCCTTTCCACAACCTCCAAAGCAATACCCAACGCGTCAAAATGTCAACATACAAATGGAGGAACAAGGTACGCCAAAGCAAAGCCAAGTGATGGGAGGGAGCAAATTCGTGAGGCAGAGAAAGGCCAAGTAGGCCCCGAAGTTGGACGGTGACCTGGCAGCGAATGAATAGATGTAGTTGCTTCTAGCTGACGGAACCTCGTCGGTCGCAACGAGATCGCAAGACGGTAAGCAGACTTAACCGAGAAGATCCCCGTGAATGGAAATGTCATACCCACTTATCGGCACAATGGGAGCGAGGTAGCGGGATATTCAAAATAGCCAAAACAGAATTGATATCGGAATACTCACTCAGTCGATGGCGATCCCAAGTTAAAGTGGATGGTGAAACAAAATTGGAAACAAACCGAGGTGTGATTGGTTGGCGAAGACCTGGGCGAAAATTGGGCAAATCGGGAACCCAAGGATTAACAGTTGCATCGATTATGTTACTGGACCCGACTCCCCACCGCAAACGTTGTAGTAGCAATTCACGCCCATGAAGGAGGGATTGCCATACCCATGATGCATTTGTACCTCTCACAGTTGAGCAAAGAAGTGTGAGAAGAAGTAGAGTCCCTTCAAAATTCAAACGAGAAGAGAGGTAGGGTTGTCAAAATGCGCCAACATTGCTTCGCGAGTAAGGCCTGATTAAATGTCGTAAAGTCACGAAAACCCAGACTACCTTCCCCCTTAGAACGGCATAAGTGACGCCAGGATACCCATGGTAAACGACGCTCCTCTCCTCGCTGACCCCACCAAAATCGAGCAATCATCCGATTCAGGTTGCGACATAGCTCCTCCGGTAAGCGAAAGCACGACATGGCATACACAGGTAAAGCCGAGACAACAGATTTAATAAGCATTTCTTGGCCTGCCAAGGACAAATAGTGTCGTTTCCATCCTTGCAATTTTTTCGCGACCGCATCTTCGATATACGTATTACTTCACAAATATCATTAACCAAAAAATTTAGTGAGGGGTGCTAAATCTTCCTATGGATTGATTCCTCATAATTGAGAACAATTTTATGATATTATCTTCTTCTGACTCTACCTACCGCACAACGTTCTGTTGCTTGGTGTGTTCGTGTTCTTTGACTTGTTAAACAATTGCTCTTCAATCCCGATTTGCTGCCTTGCCACAACTGAGGATATTCATAATTGCTTGTCTATTCAAGTGTTATCTGATATTAGTGTTTACGCGATGAGGATCAGTATATCAAAATATTGATTAATACCGATCCAATCGTAATATTTGATAGTTACAAAATATTTGGATGGGTTAAGTTTCATTTATTGTCTTTTGTTAACTTTATTGAGTGGATGCAGTTTTGGAGATGAAAAATAAAGAAAAACCCAACACATATATTTTATCTATATAATTCTTACACAACCATCAAGAGACACTTTTTTTTTATTCGAAGACAGGACTGCTAAGACTAACTCCAACCCTTGCTTTCAAATTTGGAGAAAGTGAACATTTTGCATTTTTTCATCTCCAACCCACCTTCAATTTTGCTTCCAAATTTGGAGAATGGAGTGTTGGGGTGGATAGATAGAAGCCTCCATGGAGCAAAGGGGCAAAAATAGCAGCTGGAAGGGGGACCCCGCGTGCAGGCGAGGGCCACCCGCGGAGGCGCGCCTGGGCCGCACGCGCGCGGGAGGAAGGCTTCCTCCCGCGCGCGTGCGGCCCAGGCGCGCCTCCGCGGGTGGCCCTCGCCTGCACGCGGGGTCCCCTGCTGCTGCTTTATTTTTTTTTTCATTTTTTGTTTGCGTTTTAGTTTGTGTGGGTGTGTTTGCGTTTTAGTTTGTGTGGGTATGTTTGCGTTTTAGTTTGTGTGGGTGTGTTTGCGTTTTAGTTTGTGTGGGTATGTTTGCGTTTTAGTTTGTGTGGGTGTGTTTGCGTTTTAGTTTGAAAGAAGTAATATAGTGACAATAAAACAGTCACATTGCAACGGACACATTTTAACGGCCATAAAAAATGACTAATTTTGCAAAAAAAATTATCTCGGAATTAAAAAAAATTACATCGAAAATTTTGTTTTCACAAGTAATAACAAACTATAAAAAAATTAAAGTGAATTACAAGAATGATATTGTAAATAAGTATGGATTATGGAAATTAAATCAAAAAAAGATGTGGTAAGCTAAATTTGGAAGCTTTTAGGGTTGGAGCAAAAAGGTGTTTTGGGGAGGCAAATATGCACATTTGAGAGCTTGGGAGGCTAAATATAGCTTTTGGGGTTGGAGTTAGTCTAATGTGCTAACCTCTGCGTTGACACAAATAGAGATGGGGAAGCAGCAAAAGAGGCATTTATACATGAGTGGAGTATTCTCCTTAGAGCGGAGCTTGAACAGAGTGGTTGCAATTACGGCGAGAGGTATAGATTGTACTCGACAGTTGTAGATGACAAAATTGCAGGAGTTAACATGTGGTTTAGTGGGGGAAAAAAAGAAGTTTAATGTAGTTGACCAAGGTTGTCAACCCACGGATTGACTCGCGGGTCGACCCAGTTTGACCCTGACCCGATGAGAAAAATGGGCCGCATGCACCAGTCGGGCCGACCGCTATAAGGTACCGGGTTGGAGGTCAAATTGTGTCATTTTTTCCTTTGATTTGCGAAATGCGCCTATTTTCCGATTTTTCTTTTCGCCCAACTCAATATTTGGAATCCTAAGTTGAACATTTGAATATTTATGTTATATAAGCGTGTGTGAATTTTCATTATATGTTGGATCTAAGTACGATATGTTATTTTGGTGTAATATTATATGTTATAACTCATATGTTAGATAAGATTTGATATAATTTATGAGGATAGGTACAATATAATGACTTTTACATATTTTCGGGCCAAACCGGGCTAAAACGGTTGACCCATTAACCCTTGACCCACTAGCTCGACCGGGTCCGGGTCAACCCGCGGGTTGACAAATATATAGTTACAACTACTTGGGTTTAAAAAAATAGAAGTTTAATGTAGTCTTGAATGTTCTTGTTTCACCTGGATTATTTTTTCACCCCGGCGGACCCAAAGCCAACCACACCCATAGGATTTTGATTTTCATGATTGAGTTTGGGTTCTTAATTATCTAACAATAAATATGGATTGGTTGACTATGAAGTTCTAAAACCGATTCACCCACCCCATCAACCCACGTACACTAGTTAAGGCGACATCATAACGCAGATATCCTGTGACACCGTTCACGATGGCGCACCGTTGAAGTTCAAATTGGCTCCAACAATGTGGCCAGGCCAGGCCACCATATCTTATTGCATTTTAGGGCCACCATTGGAGGGTGGTAGTTAACCCTAACCCGAACCCCAAAATAGATCTAACAACATTGAATTGAATGCTGCTGCAGTACATGTCCTTGATCTACTCTTGTGTACTCAACGCCTGCCCCCTGCCACAAAGCCGTATAAATCCTGACCACTCTGTTTCTGCTACCACTTAAGAGTTATGAGACCATCATTATGCAATGGAGCCAGCCACTGCTGCGACTTCCCATTCCCCAACTTATAGCTACCAGTTGGATCTTGGTCTGTGTTTTCCTCTTTACTTCCTTCCTGGTCCCTGCCACCATCCACTCCATTTTATCCCCCGATCAAACCCTATCGCATGTGGCATGTTTGCTTTTGTTTTTATTGCTTCATCGGGCAAATAGTTCCCCACATTTTTCTTACTACTCTCTCATTCACTCGTCCGCCTGTAAATTCTTGAGATCCAGAGCTTGAAACATCAACCAACATTAATGCAATACGAAAGCCAGCCAACCTATAAGAGAATAGATTAAAACACTTGTCTGTTTCTGGGTCCGTTTGTGTTTTCCAGCATTGATCATATCATGAAACAATGCAACAAACAAGTACTTCTTACTTACTACTACCTTAAAACGTCTGTATTTTTCTTCCTTTTCTTAACTGCTTCTACAATTGCCTCAATTATAAGATTTTTACTCCAATGAAGTAACAGAGAAAGAGAGGGAGAAAGAGAAGTAGTATTTTTTGGGGAAGAGAGAGAGAGAGAGAGAAAGGAACAGGAAAGAAAACAATTAAAAATCTTCTCTTTGTTTCTTTTGGGTTGAGTAGTAGCTAGTGACTAGTGCAGTAGAGCGAGAGTCTTCTTCTTCTTCTTCTTCTTCTTCATCTCCAATGTTACAGAGGAGGAAGGAATCATCAGTTGGATTTGGTCTTGGCATTGTTGGGCTTGGAGAAGGTGAAGATCTCAGGGTCCGACTGGTAGAACACAACCTCCCCTGTGTCGCTGACATAGTGATCTTCTCCGAGCGATCTCGCCAAGTAGCCGAACAAATGCCATGGGAATGCCCCCGACTTCTTGGGCTCTCTGTAGTACTTCCCCAGCACCGGCTTCGCTGCCCTTGTCTGAAACATTGCACGTACAAATCATTAACAAAAAAAAAACCCACCAAGAATTTACTATTCAGAATCACCGTAGCAGTAAAAATGAATGTCCTTTTTTACCGCTTCGACGAGGTGGTAGTGTGGGATCTGAGGGAAGAGGTGGTGAATGACATGGGTGCCAATGTCGTGGTGGATGTTGTTGATGATGCCATAATCTCTATCAATGGTTGTCAGCCCTCCACGGAGGTAGCTCCACTCTTTCCCTCTGTACCATGGCAGCTTCTGCTCGTACCCGTGGTGGTGCAGGTATGTCACCATGTCCAGCCATGCCACAAATATCTGCACCCACCCACCCACCCACCATGTACAAAACAAGAGACAAAACAACAACGGAAAAGCAAACCCAATTCAATATTACTTTAACTGCAATCTGACCATGTATATTCTAATAATAATGAGACGTGTCACGTGACAAATCTCAATGCTTACAAAAGCATAATACAAAACCCCTTAAGTCAGTCAATGGAAAGTATACGTTAAACAATGATGCATGATGGAGGCGGCAGAGTGTGCAGACAGACAGCAGCTCAACTTGCTGCAGTAAAAATCGATGAAAACAAGAAAGCAAGCAAGCAGGGAGGGAGGGAGGGTAGAGGAGAATGACTTACGAGGTACGGGATTCCATAGATCTTGAGGACAGGAAGGAAGCCAAAGAGAAAGGACGAATAGAGGAGGAGTAGGACCATGGATGTCCAACAGAGGGTGGAAATTAAGACGGCTTTCCTCTCGTGTGGGGCAAACAAGTCACTGTAGGGATTGAAGTGGGACCCTTTCTTCCCTGGGCTTCTTCTCCACTGTACCATTCATTCAAATTCATTGGTTGGTCTTGGTCCGTAGGGGAGAATCAAACTCAAATCTAGAATGCAATCCAAGTATCCACCCACAGTGCAAGACAACCCACCACCCACAGTGCAGAGAGACAAAAATAAGGATAACGGTTGGTTTTGCTTTGCTTACCAAGTAGATAGGGTAGGCGAACATTGGGAGAGGGATAGTGAACCTCATGAACTTGGTGCTTGTGTCCAGGTTCTTGTACACTTTCTCTGGCAGCTGCATTTTCCATCCCCCAAAAGAGAAATGAACAATTCGTCAAGGATGATAATTGATTGATTCCAAGGTTCCAATGCATTATATCATATAAGATGTTTTCCATCCGTCCATAAACACATATCACTAGTCCAACAAAGCTTTAGTCCTCACAGGTAATAAACAGAGTAATTTGAAGAACTATGAAGGGAAGGTGAAGGGGGGACTTGCCGGAACCCAGGATTCATCTTTCTCAACATTGCCATGGTTCTGGTGGTGGGTCTTATGGCTGATTCTCCTGTTCCAATTAAAACAATGAAACTTCAGATTTAGCTGGAGAGCCAGAGTGGGGGAAAAAAAAGAAAAGATAAAAGGGGTAAAGCTGGGTTCAGTATTCATCTACCATCCATGGTAAGGCACGAGGATGGACGAATGCAAGATATGACCCATCACATTGTTCAGCACCGAGCTGTCTGAGAAACTCCCATGTCCGCTGCATCAAACCAAACAAATTCAAGCCCCACAACACACAAACGCGAGACTATAAATTGAACCAGGACCCAGATAAAAAAAAAAAAAAAAAAGGTTCAGGGCTTTAAATCTAGCCAGCGGCAACGAAGAACAACCAATCCAATCGAATCCAATGCATTCCGATGGTCAATTTACAATTGACCCATAAACAAAAACAGAGCAATGGTGGTTGAATCTGAAGTAGAAGGTGAAAAGAAAGAAACGCATTACCAATCGTGTCCGAGAACGAAGATAGCCCAGAACATGGTCCCCTGAGCGGCCCAGTAGAGCGGCCAAAGAGCCCAGTTGTCGAGCTTGGCGGCGGCGAGGGCAAAGCAGAGCACGACGACGGCATCCCTGAGGACGTAGCTCATGGACCTCCATGGGCTCTTGACCCAACAATGCGGTGGAATCGCAGCCCGGATGTCGGCAATCTTGAACGGAGGAGCTTCGCTGGGATCGAAATCCAACCTTCCCCCATTCATGACGGCGCCATTGCCGTTGGCGTAGCCTCCGCCGTTACTCATGGAGTTGGGAGGGCTCATCCTGTTGGAATCCGGAGCAGTCTGGTCCAGAGCCACAGTTTTGAAGTCACTGTAGTCTGCAGCACGGCCAATCCCCTCAATCAGCTCCCCAATATTTATATCCGAAAATTACGAAACAAAAAGGAAAATCAAAATGGCGTAGGGTTTTGGGGGAAAGGCAACAAAACCCAAATTAAAACGGAGAATAATATATAAAAGAAAAAAGGGGAGATTATTCTTTTGAATGATTTTTAACGGAATCAATCAAGTGGGAGGGTGAAGAACAGTAAATGGAGATGCACATGGCAATGCAATGGACCAAATTCAGACAACACAAACAAAAGGGAGGGCCCGATTCCCCATCGTTTGGTTTAACTTTCAATTAAAGAATCATAAACTAATAATAGCTAGCGCGGTTGCTTCGTGTTGGTGGTGGTGGTGGTGGTGACGTGGTGTGTCTGAATCTGAAAGGCTTCTCTTCTCTTCTCTTCCCCATTTGGGTACTAAAATGTTGGCCGAATCTTGGATTCAGCAAATCACAGCTTCACCTCTTCCTTGTTTACTTGCAAGTTGTAATTTCTCGAGTCCAAGACTTGGCCGACTTTTCGGTACTGAAAGAGGACACCCACCAAAGCTTTGAGATTGACCTTTACCGAACCAGGAGGCGGGTGCGTAACTTCGTTAATGCACGTCAACAACACTTGCATTGCAGCTCTTATATATTCTCAGCTCATTGTTATTTTCCACTTGATTCGTGGGACTTTCACATTGCTCTAATAAGTCGTTTTCTTTTGCTTCATTCTTGATCCATTTTATTGCTATATGTTCTGATGCTTATGCATTATGCTATTTTAATTACGAATGAAACAATGTAGTTAGTTACGATCTAGTGCGAGACTCAAGTACTCAAATAAATTGTGTTTCCTTCTAAGACACTTCATATAACAATCGAGATATTTACTTTTTCTTTGCTAGTCATATATCAACGTGGATTATCCAACTTGAGCCGTACTCAACACAGGATATATATCATACTCAGCCCAAGATATATATCATACTGATATATTTACCTCAATCCATTGTCATTCCTATTAACAGAAACAACAACGTGACAATATAGCCATCTGTGATGACTAACATGAATTTTGGTTCAAACTTTTCTAGCTGAACACAAAAAAAAAAAAAAAAAAAATTAATACACATGTTTCATGTTTAATTTCTGACTTTTATTTTTTTTATTATAAAAAAGTATAATTTACTCCTCAGATAGAAATTCAAAAGGTGTTAGGATGATTTTATTCGTATTATAAGTCCCCCACATATTTCTCTAATCATCCCTAATTATATCACGAATTGGGTTTTTGTCCCAAAGAAATAAATATACCGTACAATTAATATTTTAGCAGATATCTGCTCAGTAATATAACCATGTTTTCACTCTAAAACCCACTTTTCCAGGAAAAATTACTCAACAACCCACTTCTTCAATCTAATAAATAATACAGGTAAGCCATGACTTGTCGAGTTAACACAGTTGAACATCGATGATGTGAATGTTGAAATGCTCCAAATTGGTCGGCAGAAGCCCAACTCTTTGGACACCATCATGTAAAAGCAATTAATCAACCGCCACTTTAGATGTTTGTGTGGGGTGGAACGGAACCTTACTTTAAATTCCCCATTGTACGCAACTACCTATTACACTTCTTTTCATGAAAGAAATCTAATACACGGTTTCATAATTCGTACTTATTTTCTATCAACTTTAGTTTTTACTTTAACATGATGATTTATTTAAAAACACAATTTAACATGATGATTGTGTGCAACAATCGGGTTTGGTTCAGTCCCAGGCCATACTAGGAAATAATTCGTTCAAAAGTAAAATGATTCGTTTGGTTACTATATATATAATTGTTAAAAAACTAACTTACTATAATTATTATATTATACATGTACGAATGAATTTGAGGTATTACAGATCATTATAACATTTGGTATATGAAATTCTGGTTTTCAATAGTTAAAAATTATTTTCCAACGAAAATGTCACTTGCAATCAAATGTCCAAAATCCCCCCCCCCCCTCCCAACCCAGTCCGTCCTAATTGAACTTCAAATGAAGCATGTGTTATATACACCAAGCGGAGAGGATGATGCGAGAAATCGAAGTAAAATAACAAAAGAGAAATTCCTACATATACGACACGTAAGTTTATAAGATTTTTGAGGAAGCATGATTGAAGGTCACTAGTAATGACAAGTAAGCCTATTTGCCTAAACAACACAATATATGAATGAAGAAAGACAGTAGCCATAGAATAGAATAGAATAGAATAAGAACATAGCAACTAGTCTGTCTGTGAAAGAGCCAAGTGAGGATGAGTGATATAAGGTAAAGATGCGACTAGTGTAAAGCTGGACAGAAATATGCCCCCACACTCCAAGCCTGCTCTAGCAGACAACCAGACCATTTTCCCTTTTTAAAACCCATGGATGTGGGTGGAAGAAGGAAAACATAAAACAGAGGAGAATATAACCCAACAAATTTCACCACTTTGGCTCCCCTTTTTTGTGGGAATGGGGCAGCACAAGAATAATTTGTAATTCTCGAGGAGTAATTGAATGGGTGGTGGGGTGAATGACATGCGTGTGCGAGTTTATTACCGTAATTGGTCACTCTATTTAAGTTAGTAAAACAAGTCCAGAATTGTACAAAAATAGAGGGTTTTGTTCTTTTTAATGATAACTATAATTTGCATTTTTCTCGCGTTAGTTAGCATGTTAACCCCTCGGGTTGGTTTTTTGAAACCCCTTTCTTATTGGTCAATTTTTTTATTAATCATTTGACAAGTATTAATGAAAGTAGACCTAATAAATGCAACTTGTAGAATTTAATACTCTTATTAAATATAAATTAAGAATTAAATACAACACATTAATTACTTGCATTTTTTAAATCTAAACCTATACAAAATGCAATTCTCTCTCCTATCTCTAATCCTTCTCTCTCCTATCTATGATCCTTCCTTTTTGAGCAACCTCCGACCGACTCCTTCCCAAGCCCCTCTCCCGGTGAGTTTTCAATTTTCAGATCTGATTTTTCAATTTACAGATATGATTTTTGTATCACTCCACTAATATTTGTACCACTGCACTTAAAATCAAAATATGGTATTTGTACCAGTGCACTGGTAGCACTACCAATGCACTAGTAGCGATACTAATGCACTGGTACAAATGTCAGATCTAAATATCAGTGATGTGGTACAAATACCAGTGTAGTGGTACTACATATCCGGTGGCCGGAGAGATTCTGCCGGCGGGATTTCACCGGCAAAGTGTGGTGGTCGGAGCCTGTTGGAAAAGAAAAATCAGAGATAGGAGAGAGAATTGTATTTGGGTTATATGTATAATATGCCTCTTTACTATGACGTTTTATCAAACATGCCCCTCTACTATTTTTTACATCAAACATGCCCCTGTAATTTGGAAAAACTATCAAACATGCCCTTCAGTTGAAATTTCCATTGAAAAAATCGTCAATCATGGTTGAACCGAGATTTAGACGACCTGACATCGATAAATGGGAGGGGAAATGTCAGTTTTGACCCTTGCTTTATTTCTCTATGTCTCATCAAAGTGAAATTATTATAATTATTTGGCTATACAAAAGAAAAAAAAACTCTAAAGTGAAATGATTAGAGATATTTTAGATATTTGGGTCGCCCAAACCAAAGTTCGGTCTTGGTTAACGATTTTTGGATGGAAATTTTAGCAAAAGGGCATGTTTGATAAGTTTTTCAAACCAAAGTTTGATCTTGGTTAACGGTTTTTGGATGGAAATTTTAGCAAAAGGGCATGTTTGATAAGTTTTTCAAAGTACAAGGGCATGTTTGACGTAAAAAATAGTAGAGGGAAATGTTTGATAAAACGTCATAGTAGAGGGGCATATTATACCTATAACCCAATTGTATTTTGTATAGGTTTAGATTTTTTTTAAAAAGTAAGTAATTAATGTGGTGTATTTAATTCTTATTTTGTATTTAATAAGAGAACATTTATTATGTTTACTTTCATTAATACTTGCCAATTATTAATGAAAAAATTGACCAATTAAGAAGGGGGTGTCAAAAAACCAACCCCTTTAAGGGTAGGCATACTAACCAACCCCACTTTTCTCAATAACTACGGTGGTTCGTATATGGCAGTGGTTATGTGAAAATTTTCGGAGCACACTCGACATTTCATGTCATTTGATTCACGATTTTTAATTTGGATTGTGGTCCGAAAATTTAACTCGTACGCCGAGAATTCGTAACGTGAAACATAATAGAAGAGGAAGGAGTCGGAGAAAAATATTCCTTGTGGAGTGGAGTGGAGTGGGGCATTAACAAGCATGGAAGAGCCAGAAATGAAACTACCGTTACCTTCCATCATCTTGGAGTTGGATTCTGTTAGGGCTGCCTGTGTTTGCGTTCCTCCCTCCCCCATTTTCTATTGTTCATGTATTGTCCCAATGCACAAAGCTGGGCACGTCTCTTTGGCCCCGACCCTGAGATTCTGCACAACCTGACAAACCCAACAGTGGTCACCAATCAGATCACAGCGATCCCCTGTTTACCTCTCTCTCTGTTCTGTTTTAACTAATAAACTTCAGTCGGGGGGATCTCTGTACAATCCCGCTTCATATGCTTACAGACGCTAGAGACCAAACACGGAATACAGATTTATTCATTATATTCATATTGGGAAATTCAGGAGATGCACCAAAATTACAGTGTCAGGGTTCAGCTCGCTACCCAACAGACAAAAAAACAGAGCATTCGTCCCACCCTCCCAAATCGAATATGGCGACGACTATCGTAACGGCCTCAGAAATAATATCTTCCCTTTTTCTTTCTGTTTTACCGGCCATCGGTTAAACAGGGTCACTTAATTTCAGGCGGGTATTATGTTTACACTTCACCTGACTTGGTAAAAATAAATTGCGTTCATGATCTTGTTACTACGTAACGCTGATTCACAAATCACAACACAAGCAACCTACCGGTAATGATAATAAAGCCAGAGCGATGCAGAGAAAGTGCATAGGAGAAACGATCGACAATGGAACTGGAGTAATACCTGAAAGAAGGAATTTCTAGGATATTTTTTTGGCTTCTTTTTCGATTTTAGAGTTCTTTGGCAATCATGGTGGTGGGGGTTTTTTTTTTCCTGGAAAAGGAAAAGAAAATGGGGGAGAAAGAAAAAGTAGTGGTGACGGGTGAATATGGGAGAAGAGGTGGAAGTGAAAAGGGGGAAGCTGGGCAGTCTATAAATAGGCAGTGGGCCAAAGAGAGGAGACCCAAAAGTGCAAATTGGACAGGAAAGGGAACAAGTGGAGTGGAAACGTAACCCTGCTGTGCCTAGCCATTTGAGGCTAGTATTGGTGAGCGGTAAATTGATCGAAAACAGAGCATGAGGTTGATCAATCTTTGACATAACAATCAAACAGCCTTTCTTCTGTTCTGCCCCTACTGATTGTTCCAAGTTTGCAGTATCTATACATTTTTAGGTGGTGATTTTGAGTTTCGTGAAATACATTCGTTCTGTCTAGGTCATGCGATGAATTAGAGCTTCATAGTATTCTTGCATGTTACTTCTCCATTTTACTTGTGTTATGGGTGGTTAAAAACACAAGACAAACTTGAATTATTAGGATACATATTTCAAAATAGAATTGAACGAAAGCTAATTTTGCAATAGATATTTGATATTTTGAAAATTTATATTACATTACATTACATTACATTACTGTTTGAACCTAGAATGTACTAGGCGGTTATGGGGCTCTGATCTGGACTCCCTCGTCCGATCTCCTCGGGAGTGGAAGAATCTGTGAGGCGGGGGGCGGCCCCCGGGATCTACGCTCCGACGCCCAAGTTAGTACGATATAGAATGCGGTTTATTGTATGTAGAGAGAGAGTTTAGAGAGAGACCTTAGGGTAGAAGTGAGGAAGGGAAGAAGAGGACCCATGACTTGGAGGCTTTGGCCTCCTTATATAGGGCTTGAGACTCCATAAGTGGGCTTGGGCCCGTGACTCCTTGCGTTGGGCTTGGACCCGTTTATAGTCTTGTAGGCATATTAATCCATATCCAAACAATTGCCCCTTTACTTCTTGTATTCTGTAAGAATGGAAGGAGTAATATAATGCGTTAATCGTGTATTAATTTGCCTTACTTGCGAATCCGGATGATGCGGTTTGCCCCTTGTGTGAGTTGCGTGATTATTTCTTCTGCCCCTTGCTTATCTTTCGATGTCTTGAACTAAAGCTCTCAAGTCGTTAAGAGTTCCTTCGCTAGTCCATTGTTGTTAGCGCTAGTAGACCATAATTGCGACCTAGGTAGGGTGGCCCCCACGGCTTGAGAGTTTTAACTCAAGACGCTCTTGTTAGTGTTTCCTCGGCTAACTGGGGTGTGCTTCTGCTTTGCTTCTTAGGCTTCCCGGGAAGCGCATTGCCCCTCCGCTTCCTGAGAAGTGCATCGCTCCTCGACTTTTCTGGGAAGCGCATTGCTCCCTCCGCTTCTTGAGAAGCGCATCGCTCCTCGGCTTCCTGAGAAGGAAGCGCATTGCTCCTTCGCTTCCTGGGAAGCGCATTGCGTCCTCTGCTTCTTGGGAAGCGCATCTCTCATTTGGCTTTCCGGGAAGCGCTTTGCTCCTCGGCTTCCTGAGAAGGAAGCGCATTGCATCTTTGCTTCCTGAGAAGCGCGTCACTCCTCGGCTTAATGGGAAGCGCACCTTTCCTCCGCTTCCTGGGAAGCGCATTGCTCCTTGGCTTCCTTGGAAGTGCACTGCTCCTTCGCTTCCTGGGAAGCGCATTGCTTCCTCGACTTCCTGAGAAGCGCATCGCTCCTCGGCTTCTTGGGAAGCGCATCGCTCCTTCGCTTCCTGGGAAGCGCGTCGCTCCTTGGTTTCCTGGGAAGCGCACCTCTCCTCGGCTTCCTGGGAAGCGCATTGCTCCTTCGAATTCTTGAGAAGCGCATCACGCCCTCGGCTTCCTGGGAAGTGCGTCACTCCTTCGCTTCCTGGGAAGCGCATCGCTCCCTTGGCTTCCTGAGAAACACGTCGCTCCTCGGCTCCCTGGGAAGCGCACTGATCCTTTGGCTTCCAGAGAAGCGCATCGCTCCTCGGCTTCCTGGGAAGCGTGTCGCTCCTCGGCTTCCTGGGAAGCGCGTTGCTCCTTCGGCTTCCTGATAAGCGCCTCGCTCCTCGACTTCCTGAGAAGCGCCTCACTCCTCGGCTTCCTGAGAAGCGCATCGCTCCTCGGCTTCCTGAGAAGCGCACTGATCCTTCAGCTTCCTGGGAAGCGCCTCGCTCCTCGGCTTCCTGAGAAGCGTCTCGCGCCATCGGCTTCCTGAGAAGCGCATTGGATTTCAAAGAGGGAACATCGCTCGGAGGCGGGAAAGCATTCCTCGGGGAGAGCCTCGCTCAGAGGCGGTTTACGAGCCTTGCTCGGAGGCGGAAGGCATGAATTAATCCCCCAAGGGTGCATCCCTTGGTGGCGGGAAGCATTCCCGCGAGGGAGCATCGCTCAGAGGCGATAAGTATTCTCCGGAGAGAGCATCGCTCGGAGGCGTGAGTCTTCAAGTATCCGATAAAAAGAAAGTGGCATAAATACGAGCATAGACCTTTACGGAGAATATCCTAACATAGTGGTGATGCCTCTTCATGGCTTGGAACCGAATATATATTATTGAAGAAATTACTTAGCTTTGGTAGAAGAGGCAGCAAGTAGGTGACTAAAAGCTGGGCGGCTTCATTTGTAACAAGAACTATCCTTGTAGCGTACTGGTTGAAGATGCTGACTAATGCTAGGCGGTCCCGTGTTCGATTCACTGCAAATGCTGGCCTTCTCTTTTTAATTGGGGCTTGGATTGGGCGGTCTGACGCCGGGCCAAGTGGCTGATGTTGGGGCGGTCGTGAAGTAGGCCTCGAGTCGGATCCGGTTCGGATTTGGTTTTGCTACTGATGAGGCCGCCTGATGCTAGACGGTCTTAACGGAGGCGTTCCAAATTGAATCACTAGCATTATCGTGATGTACTGGTGAGTGCTTCTCTTTTTAATTGGGGCTTGGATTGGGCGGTCTGACGCCGGGCCAAGTGGCTGATGTTGGGGCGGTCGTGAAGTAGGCCTCGAGTCGGATCCGGTTCGGATTTGGTTTTGCTACTGATGAGGCCGCCTGATGCTAGACGGTCTTAACGGAGGCGTTCCAAATTGAATCACTAGTCATTATCGTGATGTACTGGTGAGTGCTTGGACTTACTTGGTTGCGGTCATCGTTTCGAAGCTTGGCGAAGGCTCTTTCTCCTTAATTTTTGAATGAGGCGTGATACTCATCGTGGGCCGCTGAATCTTGGGCCGAGCTGTTGATGTGTGGGCCGTGATCCACTTTGCGAGGCGGGCTTGTGGGTTGGACTGGTGGGCGGTTGTCAGGAATGGGAGGGGAGCCTTTCACCTTTGTCTGATCTCTTCTCCGTGAGCGGTTAAATATTTATTGTTGTCTCTATAATTAACAAAGTTATCTTGTAGTGTACTGGTTGAAGCGCTTGGCGTGTGAAAGTGAGATCATTGGTTCGATGCTTGATGTGGGCGGTTTCTTCTTTCTTTTTTAATGAGGCTAGTGGCCTTGCGATGTGGAACGCAGGAGATTGGAGGTGGGCCGCATTGGGCTTGAGCGGGCCGGTTCGTGGACTGGTCTAGCGGCAGGCGGGCGATGGGCTGGACGAAAGCGGCCCGCGTGAAGAAGGCGTACGTTGGGCTTTCGCGGGCGGTCCGTAATGGGAGGCGGATGTGGGCTTCGGACACCGTTATGAGGACGGCTTCCTAGCGTGGATTCGATGCGGTCTTCATTACAAAGCGGGCCATTATGGGTTGGAAGTGGCGGCTGGGCTGACTGGGCTTTGGACGCGGTCCACATGTTGATGGCTGGCAGGAGATTTAACGACGATTTCGTGGGCTTCCTTGGATGTAGGCGGTCCTTGGGCTGGATGGAAGCGTGAGGCCCCGGCTCTGAAGCCGGACTTGCGATGCGGGTCACAGATAATGACGGGCTGGACATGATGAGAAGCGGGCCGCTTATGTATTTTGAGGCGTGTCACTTCGGGCGGGCTGTTGCTGCTTTGCTGGCCGGACTGAATGCGGATCGGACCGCGCGAATATTTGAGACGCCCATGACTGGTCTGACGGGCTTTGTTAAGTTTTAGGTTTTGGAGGTTTGGAGAGCGCTTACAACTTTCTTCTTCTTAGTCTTCTCCTCTCGCTAGGCGTGGCCGCTTTGCTTCTCGATCGTCATCGGGGGCATTTCCTTTTGGCTGTTTCATTATCAATGAGTCACTTCTTTCTACTGATGGTCTTCTTGAGCGCTCTGCTCCAGGCGCGCTACTATTCTTCTGAATCAGTTGTTTTATCTTGGGCATTTCTTGGAGATCGGCTCGATCGGTAGACGACGGCTGACAAAGGTAGCGGTTCTCGATTAGTGCTGATCACAGAAATAGTCATGCCGCAGCAGCAGTGGTATGGTCGTTTTCGGGTGCCCCGGGCGTTCTTTGGTTTCGCCTTCTACTATGCGTTTTCCATTGCGAAGCGTAGGTGACGATTTCTCTTGGCGTCTTCTCTTTGAGGCGTTTCCTCGGGAACACCGTCAATTGTCTTGGGAAACCCGTCTGTCTGCTTTTCTGACTAAAAAGGTGACCTCCCACTGTAGCAAAACAGTCTGCCTTTTGAGAGCTAAAAGTTGGGGAAGAGTGGGAGAAAGGGACGTGACAACAGCCTGTCATAGTGTTGATGTTGACTTCTGGCCTGAGCTTCATTCCCGGCGGCCGGAATTCACCTCCGGTGATCGGAACCTGGAGATTTTACAATAACTCCAACCTGGATCTTCAACTGAGCAGCTCCTTTCCTTTGATTCGCGGTTGTCCACGGAGATTTCAGCTTCTTTGACCATCCTCTTTGTTTTGTAGGTTGGATCAGTAGGCGATGTGAGTTTGCTGCAAAATACAGCTTTCGCTTGGGGAGGCAGAGGTCAGCGAAGCAAAAGAGACGCCTGCGCTGGTGGTGATGATGACCGGTTGAGCTGGGGTTGGCGAATGACCAGGAGAGTCGCTGTTGTTTCCGGTCGTTTGGGCGAATTGTCGACCATATCTGGAACTCGTCCTGTTGACCCAAAGGGTAAAGAAGAGAGCGAGGAGCACCGGGAAGGAAGTGCGGCCGCGGAAGTCGGAGAGGTGGTGGAAGAAATCTGCGATTTTGAGACCGTTCTCGGCTGGCATATCATGCGATGTTCTTGGATCCCTTAATTGCACGTCGTCGATCCTTGCCGTTCCTCGTTTCTCATAAAAGAAAGGTAGATTCGGGACATTTTCATTTTTCTTCTGCCTTCGCTGGTTTGGACGCTGTTGTTGTTGTAGAGGAACTGAGGAAGAACTCAGTTCTTCCCTCCTTCAGAAATCAAACATCAGAATATCCAAATCATGGCCCCACGGTGGGCGCCAAATTGTTTGAACCTAGAATGTACTAGGCGGTTATGGGGCTCTGATCTGGACTCCCTCGTCCGATCTCCTCGGGAGTGGAAGAATCTGTGAGGCGGGGGGCGGCCCCCGGGATCTACGCTCCGACGCCCAAGTTAGTACGATATAGAATGCGGTTTATTGTATGTAGAGAGAGAGTTTAGAGAGAGACCTTAGGGTAGAATTGAGGAAGGGAAGAAGAGGACCCATGACTTGGAGGCTTTGGCCTCCTTATATAGGGCTTGAGACTCCATAAGTGGGCTTGGGCCCGTGACTCCTTGCGTTGGGCTTGGACCCGTTTATAGTCTTGTAGGCATATTAATCCATATCCAAACAATTACTCTTATGGAGATTCACTTGATAGATATTCTTTCGCAACAATGGCTATAACTAAACAAACAATAGAGAAGTCTCCACAATGGGGCTCTAAAAGGCAACCTTACTTTAGAAGGAAAAATGGGTTGTGAAAATTAAGGGAGTTAGTCTCACATGTTGAGATTTTAAAATGATATTTGCTTGTCAATTGAGAGAACATGGGTAGACACATGAAATTTTTTTATTTTTGGTTGGGGGTACTATTTGGATTAGTTTGTGTTTTTTGTTTATGATTTATGATATGAATGCTTATTGGGGGTCCGGATCCCATCAGTAATAATAGGGTTAGTAATTGGGGTTATTGACACAAATATTGTTTTTTTTTAAATTTATCACTAATATTGCGGATTAAATAGAATTGACAAGAATATTGTGTTTTTTGGCTAGATGGAGGCGTGGCCGCCTAAGACTCAGGCCGGGCCGCTTTAACAAAATTTTAACAAAAGTCCTAGGTGCTGGCGCCGTAGACTAAGGCGCTCCCACCTTAGTCCGTTTTTATTTTAATTGGCCTAGGTGCTGGCGCCGGAGACTAAGGCGCTCCCACCTTAGTCCATTTTATTTTAAATACCCGACACAACCACACAACCACAGCCTTATCTTCTTCTTCTTCCTCCTCCTCCTCCACACACCACACAACCACCCTTCTTCTTCTTCTTCCTCTCCCGCCGTCACAGCCACCTAGCGCCACAGCCACTAGGACACAGCGAGGCCGCCGCTGAGCAAAGCGACCCCGCCGCAGAGCCAGGCGTCGCCGCCCCAGAGTCCGGCGCCGCCGCAGCCAGCAGAAGCGCCACCGCCTGGAGATGTCCTCCGACGAAGAAGAAGTCGCCGCCGGCAGAGGCAAGGGGAGAGGCCGGCGAGGTCGTGGCGGCCGTTTGCGCGGTGAGACTCTCGTCGGCGGCTTGAATTTTTTTTTAATGGTTTGTGTTTTTCTTAATGTTTTGTTGCTTTGTTTTTGCAGTTCCTAGGCTTATGGATCCTTATTCGATGAGATCACCGTTGACAACAATTGATCCAGGTCCGGTCGATGCGACACTTCTTTGGGGACATGGCCAACATCGTATCGACTCTGTTTGGACAAACGAGGTAAGTATTTGATAATTATTCATGTAAAGTTAATTATCTAATTAGATTATTTTAGCTGGTGAACTGAACTGTACTGTTAGAGAATAGGATTACGTATCAGAGTTTTTGAAATTAGTATAATTTGATATTAGATTAGACAGATTAGAATTAATTAGGTGAAATTAGAATTATTACAAATGAAGATGAATTAATATAAGTTTTGTGCACTATAAGCTGGTGATCGATCTTACCATGTTCGAGGTACGACCATTTTAGTACCTTACCATGAGCTTTATCGGCCATATCTCGAAGCGGCAGGCTTGTTAAGTGTCGTACCCCTAGTCCCTATGAATCTGATGTTGATCCACCTAGTTATCACATGAAATATTTCTATCACTGGCC